AGCAGCCCTTTCTTCCGGAGTATTGCCAGCATCTGAGACGGAGGTCCTGGGAGGGGAGTGAACTGTCTCCGGTTGTTTCGCTTTTGTGATGGAGGGATACTGGGTTTGTATTGTTCATGTTGCATGAACTTTGGGCATAGAATGCTCAATTCTTTAGGATCAGGGGACTCGTGGACATTGTCAGCTATGACGTCTTTACCCTTTTGGTTGACACTGGAGGGCTCCATTTGAATTATCATCCCTGGTCTTGGATAGCAAAGCGGAGTCATGGTGAGTTGGTCTAAACGGACTGACAGATGTTCCACTTGTTTTGAGAGTTGTCGAAGAAAGGCGAAGACTTGCTTCATTTCGGTCTCCATGTCCGCCACACGAGTTGTCATATCTTTTTCAGCCATTTTTACTTGGCGGGTTGGTATAATTCGTAATTACCTGTTAAAAAAATGGCAACGAATGAGTATAAAATCTCATAAATGATCAGTCCATGACTGAGTCTAGTATTGCATCTGTCTATCACATATTTTCTTTATTTGCAAAAAAAAAAAATAATAAGGGAAGCAAAAAAGGTTTTTATTTATATTAACATTACAAACGGCGTCCCCGGGGTTCGAACCCCGGTCGCCTCGGACCGTTTTGCTCATCCCGGATACCACTGGGCCGAAGGCCACGGTGGTGTCATTAAAGCGCAAAACAAATATTTATAACAAATTTTCTCCCTTTTGAAAATGACAAGAAAACGTATAGGAGAACAGTGATTTGTAATGTACTTATAAAAATAAAGGTACGAATTGGAAGTAAGTATTCTAAAAAAAATTTTAGTAACTATTTCTTCCAAAACGATTACGGTATTAAATCCACAACTAACCTAGACTAATCATGGACCGACCGGGATATATAAAAATAAATAAATTGCAAAGTGCATGAATAGAAAACTTACTTTACCAGGAACCATGGCAATCACAGAGACATGCGCATGAGGAGTGAGGTTCGATTTCTATTTAGACTGGTTCAGCAAAATGAAATTAAAAGGGTGCCTGACCGTCGCAATCTCGCGTTGGTGTCAAGTCCTTTTAACCTCGGCCAAATCGAAAAAAATATCTTAAAGTCACGCGAATAGCGGCTAAAGATACTTCTTTACGATTTTTAGAAATAAATTTCGGGGAAAAGAAAGGCAACCTCTACATCGCGGGCTCGCGTTCGAGGTCGTATCTTTCTTAACACCATCCTAAAATGCCCTATTGCGGCCCAGGTCCAGCAGCGTGGTTGTGTGTGCGACAGTGTAGTGCTAAATCATTAAAGCATGCACAACAATTTATAAACAATCAATTTGAACCTGCAAGAACAAATAACACCTTAATGTCAGTGTCATACCTGGAATCCTCGCTGCCAAACAAAAATTATTTTTGAACAGGATAAAATTTTTTGGCTTAAGTCCACTTTTTTTTTTTTAAAAAAAATGCACTTCCCCAGCGGAGTCGCCAGTCTGTCGCAACCAAACTCCCGAGCCCTTTTTTAAACAACACGCAAAAAAGGGGGGCTCGTCTGGTACGTGCTAAGTCTAGGTTCGGGACTTAACTCGGGCTCTCCCAAGCCCATACCATATCGCGACTTAGGGTTTAAGTTTTTAACATGCAAGTGGTTTATATCGAGGAGTCGCCACTAATCGATTTAGGGTAGGTCGATTAGAAACCCAAATAGGGTGATGGGAGAATCACCCTATTCCTGCGAACCAGAGATTAACTGAATTCGGGGACTTGGTTACACTAGTTGGATAACTAATGCCCTTTCGGTACCCTTTTACCCTGTTCATTTTTGAAAACATTTGTCAGGCAATTTGGATTGATTTTAGGACCTTTCTCCTAACATGTGAGGTGATCAAGCGAGTGCATAATCAGAAACGATCAGCAGTCAGGAACACAACAATTCATGCAGCCTAAGGTTCTAACCTTAACTGAGTCAGATGACATTCAAAAACACAACAGCGCATGGAATTGTATTAAAAACATGCATAACAGTAATAAAATTAACATGCAAAATACTACCGCACAACCTCAGAATTGTCTAATTTAAACAAGACAATAACATGCATAATAATACAACAATAAATTAAAACACTTAGATATAACATAATTTTTAAAAAACTTTTTTTTTTTGAATTTTTTTTTTTCGAAAAAAAAAAATATATATATATATATATATAAATAATAGTACAGAAGAAAGAAAAAAAAATAATAAATAAAAAAATAAAAAAAAATTAAAATTTTTTTAAAATTTTATTTTTTTAAAATAAAATAAAAATAAAAATATTAATATAATATTAAACCGGGTCGGGTTGCGGATCCGGGCCGGGTCGAAACCGACCCGGGTCAACGGATCCGACCCGGGAGTTGACCCGGGTCGGATCGGTCAATCCGGATCGGGTCGGAACCGACCCGGGTCAACGGATCCGACCCGGGCGTTGACCCGGGTCGGAACTGTTAATCCGGGTCGGTCGGAACCGACCCGAGTCAACGGATCCGACCCGGGCGTTGACCCGGGTCGGATCTGTTGATTCGGGTCGAATCCGACCCGAACAAACAGACCCGCGGGGAGGGGGGCGCCGGAGAGGCCAAAATTGGCCGTCCGCCGGCTGACCCAGGCCAGCGCCGCCCTCAAATCGCCCGACTAGGATCGCCCGTGGGCCGTGCCACTCACCCGAGCCGCCGTAGGACCACCGTTCGCCGGCCGGCGATGAAACAAAACCAGCCTGGTTGAGGCATTTCGTCGAACGCCTGGCGGGTGCGTAGAAAAACGAGGGATTCCGACCTCCTCCGGCGATCCGGTCGACTCCGGCGGCTTGGGTTCACCTCCGACGGCGACTAGGGATCGGGACCGACGACGGTATGGGCCGGGATTCGCGCGAAACGGCCGGCGCGAGTCCCGGCCAAACCGAGGCAAAAAACAGGGGAAAACAGGGGAGCTTCTCGGCCGAGGGGGGCTCACCGGTCGACGGCGCGTCTGGATGGCTTCCGGCAGGTCTGGCGGCGTCGACGACCGCTGCTGGTTCTTCTTTAGCTCCGGCGGACTCTCGGCTCCCTCTCTCTTCTCTGTTTCACTCTCTATTCTCTCTCGGTCTCTCTCGGTTTCTCTCTCTCACTCTGTTTTTGTCTGAAATGGCCGACCCACTCTCTCTCTCTCTGTGTCGCCGCCGTCGGCTCGGCGACGGGGATGGATGGCTGAGGCGCGGTGGCTGCCGGAGGCTTCCTGTCTCTCCCGGCTCACGCTCTCACGCTCCCTCTGTATTTTTCTCAAAAATGGCCGACCGGGCTCTCTCTCTCTCTCTCTCTGGCTTTTTATAGGCGGCGACGGTGAGCCTGTGCCTCCCCGCGTCGGCGTGACGATGGCCTGCACCGGCCTATCTGCCCCGCGACTTTCGCGGCCATAGCAGGCCGGTGCAGAGCAGAGCAGAAGGGGGGGCAGAGAGGAACAGGGAACCGAGAGGGAGGAGGGGATAAGGGAGAGGGGAAATGGGGAGGACAGGACTGGCCATTAATGCCAGTCCCGTCGGCGTGCTCATCCGGCCCTCCTCTAGCCAGACAGCGACGGCGAGAAGCGGCGCCGCCGTGCGTCACGCTTCCGTCGCGAACAGGGGAGAGCAGGGGCGAGGAGAGCGACCGGCGCAGGGGGAAGAGAAGGAAAGGAAGCTGGGCCGGGCTGGGCCCAGCTGGGGGGGAAAGAAGAAAAGAAAGGAAAACGGGCCGGGCCCGCGCGAAAGGGGAGAAAAGAAAAGGAAAAGGGGCCGGGCCCGGGGGGAAAAAAGAATAAAAGAAAAAAAAGAAATGGGCCGGGTCGGCCCAGCTCCGACCCGGCCCGACTCGATTTTTTTTTTTTTTTTAAATAAACTCTATAATAGACTCTATTAGTGCAAATGTACCTAATTTCTATATGCAATGCATTTAAATTGAAATATTTTTGTTTTAGGAATTAAAGAAAATTAATTCCTAAATTTTGTGCAATTAATTTTGGGCAAATTAAAAATAGGTGTCAACAACCTTGATAGTGCTATAATATACAACAGTTGACGTCACTCATTTTTGTCACTTAGGAAGATTATACCTTTCTTTCTCTTTATGAACTCCTTCCAATGATGCATAGAGTTCCTTGCCACTATATATATATATAAAGAACATTCAAACACTCCAAAGAGATTTTATATACTCCGAGTACTTAAATATCCCATCGACTCATGCTTTGCCAAATATTCAAAGCTTGCCAAACCTCCGTTTGAAATGCTGCACATGCTTTGGATTTGAAAAATACAACGATAATAATACCCGCTAATTAACAAAATGTTGCCAAATATTTATAAACAACATTACATAAGTTAGAAACACAAAGTCATAGAATCTCAGGCATATTGTGATCCCTTGCCATTTGATTTGCAATATTTTTCCTAAGCATGTTTGTCTCAACTGCCTCCTCATGCTTCTCATCTGCATTCTCCACTTGTGTAGGTCCAAATGGATGCTCCGGATCTCCATATAGGGAAAATTTTCTATCCATCTTGTCTTGGTCACAAATGTAATTATGTATAGCACAATATGCAATTACAATACATGCTTGCTTTCGAATTGTAAATGGAGGCATGTGTCTCAAAATGAAGAAGCGATTATTTAATACCCCAAATGACCTCTCAATGACATTCCTTAATGAAGAATGCCTATGGTTGAACAATTCTCTTGCTGTTCTGGGCCATCTCTCCCTACCCCTATAACCATTCCGATGATACCATTCACCTTTAAATGGAGTTAAAAATCCAGGAAGTGCTGCATAGCCAGAATCTACCACGTAGTATTTTCCTATAATAAGGTATATATAAATTTGTTATGACATTCAACGCAATATAATCATACAGAAAATTACTCTTTATAGATAAAGTAAATACCGGGTGGTGGTCGAGGAAATTGCAGTCTAGGAGTCTCGAGTGCTCCTGAGAGCACCCAACAATCATTGGCAGATCCTTCTCACCCAGCATATACGAAAGTAAATTTCATATCAAATGAACAAACAAACAAGACATTCTGGGTGGTGATCCCTTTCCTGCCTCTAAATGGGATTTTCTTTGACACAAGCACAGAAGCATTAATGTGGGTGCCATTAATAGCACCTACGTAGCCCTGTGATTTTATGAAAGTCTAGTGTTATACAATATTATCAACAGATGTATTTGATGGAGTAAAATCGACATGAAAATCATATCTTGAAGTAGAGTTTATGGTTATGATCCATTAGAATCTCCTCTAAGACAACATCAAAAGAAGGTGGCTTGATAACCTCTTTTGATAGTTTCATAATGACTTTCAACACTACGATAAAATACTTGCTAATTATTTCTTCCGAATGTTGGAATCTCTCACATATATCTCTAACGGAGTTCTTGTGACCAACCAAAGATAAGAAGATCCCAACTTGTTCATCTATCCTAACATACCGACTATCTTTCAACCAACCTCTTGCCCTCATTAAATCACATAGGTTCAGAAAAACATGTCTCTCCATTCTAAATGCTTCATATATTCTATCTGAATGTCCATAAACAATCTCTCTTACCCATTCGGGTCCTGACAATTTGCTGTCCCTGATAGGTTCTCTCATATGTACGAACATGTCCATTGAAAAAGTGCACAACCATGCTATTATCATGTCATTATCAAACTTATCCAAATACTTTTCAACCGGTGCTATCTCCCCATTAGACACACTATTTGTTCCCCCTTCCATAGTACCTATGCCATCACACAAATAAAAGAACATCAATATGGATATCTGGAGAAAAAAAAACAACAACAACTAATAACATAAGTAGTAGAGTGAAAGCAAACCAAATATAAAAATTCCACGCAATCCATGACACCCATGCCACCACACAAATACAATAGTCTCGGCATGAATATCTTTAAAAACCAAATAATAACCAATACCATAAGTCATAGAGTAAAATGAAACACAAAGTCATGAATATCCTACGCAATCCACGGTACAATTCCCAACATCTAGTTAAGAGATTGGAGAAGTCCATTTCTCCTTTCAGTTGGGGATTTGATGAAAGCCTCACTCCATCTAGCACTAGCGCATGCTCGTTCCACTGCTTTGTTGTACAGATTCTACTCCAAGTCAGGCATGCTAACTAGGATATCAATCACAGTAGATATAGAGTAGGGCTTTACAGGTGGTGATGCGACCTGTGAAGTGATAGAGCCAGTCACAGATCGACTAGCCCTAGCTTTGATCATCTTCTGTATGGCTTTATAGGTGCTAGCAACATTGAATGAGTTACTCGCTCTTCTCCTCTTCGTATTTGGAGTCCTATCCAACTTATGCTTGTCATGAACTGGAGTAGCTATCTTGTCAGATGTAAATATTCCCTCATCAAGGTGGTGTTCACTGATGTCTTCTGGATCACCGTTTGCATCACCACCACGATTGAATACTCCTTCGTCATCATCTGACAACATCAAGTCTTCAGCATTTCCTGCTGCATGCTCCCCGGTAGCATATGTATCACCAAATACAATACACAGGTTGGGATACTGAGAAAACCCATCCTTCTTGAATTTTGCCCACTCACTATTATCCTGCAATTCTCACAATGATGACAAACGTTAGCAATATAATCAAACATCTTAAAACTTACATCTACAATGATCACAAAAGGACCAAAAGTTAAATGATACCTTGATGAGAGGTTCCCATATGCTTGGATCATCGACAACAACTGTTATTATCCCAGCCAAATTCGGATTGTGAAAGAAGCTTCTTAAATTTACCATACTGTTTTTTCAGTTTGTTTACCTTGTTCTTCAACTATACTTGGTTATATTGGAGCCCTATTTGATTATTGAATTCGGCCCGTATGTTATTCCACCCTGCTTTGTTATAAGTAGAAGAGGTGCGATTTCCCTTTTTGACCTCTTCTACTAACAAACTTATAAACAGGTTGGTTAAAGGCTTTGTCCACTTTGCATTGAATACCTCTTTCTGTGATGTCATTTAACCTTGACTAGTTGAGCATCATATAAGCCATGCATTAAATCATACCATAGTCATATAGGAATTACACGCAATACTACATTAAATCATAACATAATTATAACATTGTAACCACCCAATATTGGCCACCATAGTTGCCCCTCAAAAGGAATTTAAATGGAAGTGAATTTCATCAATAGGATTTCTATTATTGTTTTATTCTTGTGTGATATTTTTCTGAGTGTGCATATGTCTAAGTTTATTAAAAGTAGACAGGGCCTCACATTTTTTTTTAACAAGCAAAAGTGATATATGTGACCCTATCATAGTGATATGCTGCCAATACCAGAATACTAGAGCCAGAGCAACACCTATTTTCAAATATGATATCCAAAGCCACTCCTGGGCCATAAGAAAAGTAAGAGAGAAAAAGACAAGTGGTAAGCAGAAGACATAATTTGATCTGACCTGATTTGCTTTCAGTTGCTTTACTTATTTGGTGGTAATCATGCTATGCAATGTTGGTTACCCAAAGCTTGAACTTCAAATTTTTGCTTTGAAATTCACCAATTTCATATGACAATAGTATTCACAAGAAAAAAAACAAGGACAAGCAATATCATGTACAAGGGGAACCTAGAAATACTCAAATATCTCATGTAGGAAAGCTATTGTGATAGAGATACTTGGCAGCCAGAAAATGTAAGTGCCACATGGATACTGACAAAACATTTTTCATCTAGTGTCATGAAAGAACCGATTCTATGAATTTCTAGCCCTTTAAATGTGTTAACCAGCAAAAAACGAATCCCAAATAACAATACACAAGGATGGAGGAAAGTCATCTACAACATGACAACAAATTAACTAATTTATTAAATAAAACAATAAATGCCACAAAAAGTTGATACATGTATTTAGGTATTACTCGAAAACAAAATACTAACCTTAAGACAGTGCAATTCAATACCCTCCCTATTGTAGATATAAGGGTACCTGCCAAGTTAACGGAAGATACATATGAGGATCAACCATCAAGATGTGTTACTCATCCAAAGCTGCAAAATTTGCAAAAGGTTCCTGATTGAAACCAATTAAACGACATATTGCTTCTTCCTTTTAATGGACAAGAGAACATACATTACTCTGATTATTCTAGAACCTCACCACAGTAATTCCGGCGGATTGACAACTTTAATCCATGAATCATCATTAGAATTTCCTCTGCCTCTTTTACAATGTGATTATGAGTTCTAAAAGCAGATCATCTTAAAGCAAGAGAAGAATTAACCCCACATTTACCACATTCACTGCACCCAGATCGGGTCGCCCTCGCCGATCTAGGCATAGGCGACCCTCGGTCGACGAGATCGACGAGGGCGGCCCTCGCTCGACAGCGGTGAGGGTCGCCCACGCCACAATAGCCACACAATACCAAACAGAGATGAGAACAGAAAGGCGTACCGACGGATTTCAACTGGCCGGGGCTTCGCCGCGAGTGACGAGGGTGGTGGCCGGGGCTTTGAGATGGTCTACAGACGACGGAGGATGGAGGAGGAGATGAAGCCGTGGCTTGAAAGGGAAGAAGAGGTAAGAAGTAAATTTTAGGGTTTCTCTTTCTACCTTTCTATTTCTATTTTTGTTTCTGGGAACAAAGAAGTAGATTTTTTCTACTTCTTATTTCTATTCCAAATATTTTTCCTGGCTATTTTCTATTCCGAAAAATAGAAAAATTAATTGACGTTACCAAACGGATTTCTCCTTTTTTTTTGTTCCGGGGAACAAAAGAACAGAAAAATAGAGAAGTAGAAATGTTACCAAACGCTACCTAAGTGTGTAGGTCCTATTAATATCTAACAAAAGACTATCCATCGCATTGGTCAGTATACTAATTTTGTGAGAAAATTACCAAAAAAGTCATGCACGCACTTTTGCTAATTTAGTCACAAATCTTTTAATTGTGACAATTGAGTCATGATCATTTTCACGTTTTGTCAATTGAGTCCATCCAACTAATTTTGGCCAAAAATCGTTAACATGGATGCCTACCGTCCTACATGACACGATCGGCGCTAACATAGGCAATTTTCAATAATATTTTAATATTTTATAATTTATTTGGTTTTTATTCTTTCCTTTTCTTTTACTTTTTATTGCTTTTTGAAGTGAGGGCCGACGACCGTCCCTGTGGCCTTTGAGGGTTGAGATGCCCTCACCGACCAAAGCGTAGGCGCACGAGCCCTCCCCCAGATATGGTGAGGGTCGACGCCCTTACCAGATTTGGACCAGGCGAGGGCTTGGTAGCCCTCAACGGACCCTGGTCAAGGGTTCGTGTGCCTTCACTTTGGCCAGCAAGGGCTTGGGGCCAGCCACAACGTGGGTCGTTAGCCCTCGCCTAGTGGCCAGTGAAGGCGTCCAATACTGGTGAGGGTCGCCAGTCCTCAGTCCAAAAAAACAAGTAAAGAAAAGGAAAATTCCATTAAACTCAAAAAGTTATTAATATATTATTAAAAAATATCTATGTCAGCGCTGGACGTGCCATGTAAAACAATCGACATCCAACAGCCTGCCCCCATTGTCAACCACATCCGACCATGACTCACCTCCGTCGACATCACCCCCAACAACTTGCGGATTGGACCCTTGCTCTCCAAGAACTCACTCACGGCACAATCTCTCTCTCTCTCCGTAGTCCATCTCTTCACCACCGTCGAGCCCTCATCGAGATCCGGCCATTGCCGTCGGGATCTTAGCAGCATTGAAAAGCTTAAGACACTCCCCGGGTAATTTATTTCTGTAGTCTGAAATGTAATAGGCCGTCCATTTTGACTACATTGTATGGTCTCAATCTTGCCTTTTTTGTTTTTATATGGAATTGATGGTTTCCCTTGCTTCTCGAGCACCAAAAAAATGCAACCCTCTAGAACTAGAATTACATAATATTTGCAGATCTCGCGGTATCAAGACATGATATCTTGACAGAGAAGGTTGAACAACTAAACATTCCAGCAATGATTAGACAATGAGCATATATAGCGTGTTCTTTAAGATAGAGCAAGCAAATGTGAATCGACAGAGTTTTAACAAAAACCATTACAGTACAGTACTGTGATTAGTTATATTCACTCCGATATGAAAAAGAAGCACACTACATGAAGGATTCAGCACAAACTTGTTTGAGTTGGGGACATCCAGTTAACGGCCTCGTTGACTTGAACTCAGATATCTGCTCCTAGTCAATTCCCTCTTCCAGAAAATTTATCCTAGGCATTTTCACACCATGAAACAACGAACAGTTTGTACCAGTGGAATCACTACATATCCTCTTCAGACTTTTTACGCTTGAGGACCACAAAGAATGTGATGGATTCATGGCTTTCTGGCTTCAGGAAAAAGGGAGATTTCGCCACTTTCAGTGAGTACCGGTGGAACAAGTCTTCGATGATCAGTTCATCGCCGAAATGATGGAGCAATAATCCCTCAAATGCGGCTCTTAAGCCTAGGGAGAGCAATTCAGGGGTGGAAAAAGCGACTTGCATTTTGGGGTGGCTCAGGGTCTGAATCCTCTCGATGTGGAAGAATCTGTTTCGACTGACCACTTGTTTCAGCTCCTTTTCTGATGGGAAATACATTGGCAAGTTGAAGCTCTCTACTTTGGCCTTGCTTATGATCCCCTGCATCCCCAAAATTCATTTTCAAAGTGATAATAACCCTGCTTAGTTCTTAGAACCAAATAGTGGTTTTCGCCAGCCAAATAGTGATTTTCCCCATTTTTAATTTTTTTTTATAATTTTCACGTGCAATGTCAGTATCTCACAATGTTTCAAACTGATGTTTAATCGTTTCATAAATAGATTTCAACTACACAAATCCAACAAATATTAACATCATCGAAATAAAAATTATTTTTTTCATCTTGGGATAGACAGCGGAAACAACCAACAATATGTCACACTCCATGGTTTTCACTTGGAGAAGTTATTTTTCATGAAAGTCATTGCATTCTTTGTAGCATGTATTTGTAGACAAAGTATTGCCACTTTCAAAATTTTACACTCCAAAATGATCTATTGAACCACATGGTTACTTATTTAAGGAGATCTCCTCTGAAATGACTCTTGTGAATGTACTAAGTTGGAATAATTAGTACATCCAAGCTAAACACGCTACCGCTATCCTTCATGAAACAAGCATTAGTAAAGCGAAGTTTGGTATAATTAGCATCGCCAAATTTTGTTAATCGTCCCGAAATGCATAATTGCAATCTCTCTAATCTTATTCTTGCGTACGATCTTATACATCAAGTGTTACCCCATGCATGCAATTACGTACCGTATTGGCCATGTCCACAAGGCAAGAACCTAGCAGCTCGAGCCCTGACCCTATGGTGGTCTGAGAATCATGAACCAAATCCGGCTCACCAGGCACGACCATAAATATCAATCCTCCACTGACGATCTCCTCCGCTCTCGCACTGAGAAACGCTTCCAGGTCTCTCCCGAACTGAGCGGAGTAAGCCCCGATGACCTCGGCAGGCGAGCTCACATAGTAAATTCTCTCTCCATTCCAAGCACGGGAAGACTTGTCCAATATCTCTTGCGGAACGCAGGAAAGCCAGTGGAGCGCGTAGGATGAGTACGCAAAGTGTAGGGATGCGGTCGGGAGGAGACGGCCATGGAACGACCCCGGGGCCGCCGTGGTGTAGTACCGCTGCCTCTCGGGCTGGAGGTTGGCGAAAAGCATGTTGAAGTCATTGGTGGGGAGGTCGTTGAAGATGGCTTGGAACTCGATGGTACGAAAT